GCGTGGTTTCAGGAACCGCAGTAGTGTTGATGCAGCCCTGTCAGGGAGACGCTGTGTGTTTCAGTGCGAAAGCAAAAGCACTTTATTTGGCCTTCCGAAAGTAGATGCATTTAGGAATCTTTAAGATTACTTACAACAGAACAGCATTGCATTTTATGGACGACCGTTTCGTGAACCTAGGAGATGGGGTAATTCTGACTTTGCTATGACAATCTGGCGCTTCTGAATCAGCGACTGTAAGTATGTTTTGTAATTAGTTTAAGTATTTGCTATTGACTGTGAGTTTTGCGAGTTTTGCGCAGCGCAGAGTAACGCGTCGTGTGTGTGAGGGGAACAGGGTCACATCACAGCTGCCTGTCAGGCTTGTGTACTGCAAACACATACCAGCATCAACACTGTATCTGTCACGCGACTCTGTTGTCCTTTCGGGCTTGAACTGATGGTAAAACTAAGGACATTATGTACTGTCTTTACATTTATGTTGAAAGCTGAAGCTCGTGATTATGGAAAGGGGCGTTAAATTTCCGACGCGTGCTTGTGGTGTTCGGCCAATCACAATGCACTGGGTCAGCTGGCCAATCAGAGCAGACTGCGCTTGTCAAAGGAGGGGGCTTTGTTGAAAACGACGTGTTTGAGAGAGGCAGGGCATAGAGGACCTACAATAATGTACAGTATTTGAAAAATGTGTTTTTTGAACATTAAAGCATATTCTGCAACATATTCTGTTACACCAAATACACAAAATAATGATCTTTAAAATAGCATCATATGACCCCTTTAAAACATGACGTAATTAGGTGATGCATACTTAATAAATGATGTAATTAAGTGATGCATACTTAATATATTACGTAATTAGGCGATGCATACTTAATACATTACATAATTAGGCGATGCATACTTAATACATGATGCAATTAGGCGATGCATACTTAATAAATGATGCAATTAGGTGATGCATACTTAATAAATGACGTAATTAGGCAATGCATTCTGAATACATGACGTAATTAGGTGATGCATACTTTATACATGACGTAAGTAGGCGATGCATTCTGAATACAGTACATGACGTAATTAAGCAACACATATTTAAATGACGTAATTAGGCGAGGCATTCTTAATACATGACATAAGTAGGCGATGCATTCTGAATACATGATGTAATTAGGCATTGCATACTTAATACATGACGTAAGTAGGCGATGCATACTGAATAAATGACGTAAATAGGCAATGCATACTTAAATGGCATAATTAGGTGATGCATACTGAATAAATAGCGTAATTAGGCGATGCATAATGAATAAATGACGTAATTAGGCAATGCATTCTTAAACATGACACAAGCGATGCATACTGAATAAATGACGTAATTAGGTGATGCATACTGAATAAATGACGTAAAGTGTTGATGCAGCCATGTCAGTGCGAAAGACAGATTTCAGCTGTCTTAACCGTGGCTTGTGTACTGCATCATCACTGTGTCTGTCACACGACTCTGTTGCCCTTTCGGCTTGAGCTGATGGTAAAACTAACGACATTATTAACTGTCTTGATATTTACTTTGAAAGCTGAAGCTCGCGATTATGGTAAGGGGCGTTACATTTCCGACGCGTGCTTGTGGTGTTCGGCCAATCACAATGCACTGGGTCAGCTGGCCAATCAGAGCAGACTGTGCTTGTCAAAGGAGGGGGCTTTGTTGAAAACGGCGCGTTTGAGGGAGGCAGGGCATAGAGGACCTACAATAATGTACAGTATTTGAAAAATGTGTTTTTTGAACATTAAAGCATATTCTGCAACATATTCTGTTACACCAAATACACAAAATAATGATCTTTAAAATAGCATCATATGACCCCTTTAAAACATGACGTAATTAGGTGATGCATACTTAATAAATGATGTAATTAAGTGATGCATACTTAATATATTACGTAATTAGGCGATGCATACTTAATACATTACATAATTAGGCGATGCATACTTAATACATGACGCAATTAGGCGATGCATACTTAATAAATGATGCAATTAGGTGATGCATACTTAATAAATGACGTAATTAGGCAATGCATTCTGAATACATGACGTAATTAGGTGATGCATTCTGAATACAGTACATGACGTAATTAAGCAACACATATTTAAATGACGTAATTAGGCGAGGCATTCTTAATACATGACATAAGTAGGCGATGCATTCTGAATACATGATGTAATTAGGCATTGCATACTTAATACATGACGTAAGTAGGCGATGCATACTGAATAAATGACGTAAATAGGCAATGCATACTTAAATGGCATAATTAGGTGATGCATACTGAATAAATAGCGTAATTAGGCGATGCATAATGAATAAATGACGTAATTAGGCAATGCATTCTTAAACATGACACAAGCGATGCATACTGAATAAATGACGTAATTAGGTGATGCATACTGAATAAATGACGTAATTAGGTGATGCATACTGAATAAATGACGTAAGTAAGTGATGCATACTTAATACATGGCACAAGTAGGAGATGCATACTTAATACATGATGGAAGTAGGCGATGCATACTTAGTGCATGACATAATAAGTCTATACAAACTAAAATGACATAAATAAGCATTGCAAAGTTAATAAATGTTGAAATGCTATTCGAAACCAGTTTTATTTCCATAAGTTGTATAATTT